ATACAGCAGTATTGTCCTGGAGTTAATGCTGCCTGCTGATACAGCAGTATTGTCCTGGAGTTAATGCAGCCTGCTGATACAGCAGTATTGTCCTGGAGTTAATGCAGCCTGCTGATACAGCAGTATTGTCCTGGAGTTAATGCAGCCTGCTGATACAGCAGTATTGTCCTGGAGTTAATGCAGCCTGCTGATACAGCAGTATTGTCCTGGAGTTAATGCTGCCTGCTGGTGAATTTGTCTGTCTTTTAAAAGCACCAAACTGCATTCCCTCATGGGCAACAGTGAGGAGACACCTTATAGTTTTTAGTCTAGGGCTGTGTTAGAATGTACCCTATTTGGTATCAAATTCCCATTAAAATTCTAATTAATTTAGACGTTTGAACCGTCCAGTAGGCCTATAACAAGCCTTGAAGCATGTTGATGTCATTAACAGTTCTTTGCTGAAAGACATTCCTCAGACTGACCATTATGGTCCAGACAGCCTTTAAGGGCTCACCCTCCTGCCTCCTCCACACAAACATGTCTGGAGCAACGTTTCAAACGAGTTGTTTGAAGGAGGAAGAACAAGGCTCCAAAACCAAACCTCAGAGGAATAGTAAGAATATACATTTCTGAGGTAAACGAAAACCCACGACTGAAGTTTTACCCCCCTTCTCCACATTTTGTTACACACTGACCCCCTGACGGTAGTACAGTGGGGGAAAAAAGTATTTAGTCAGCCACCAATTGTGAAAGTTCTCCCACTTAAAAAGATGAGAGAGGCCTGTAATTTTCATCATAGGTACACGTCAACTATGACAGACAAAATGAGAAAAGAAAATCCAGAAAATCACATTGTAGGATTTTTAATGAATTTATTTACAAATTATGGTGGAAAATAAGTATTTGGTCAATAACAAAAGTTTCTCAATACTTTGTTATATAACCTTTGTTGGCAATGACACAGGTCAAACGTTTTCTGTAAGTCTTCACAAGGTTTTCACACACTGTTGCTGGTATTTTGGCCCATTCCTCCATGCAGATCTCCTCTAGAGCAGTGATGTTTTGGGGCTGTCGCTGGGCAACACAGACTTTCAACTCCCTCCAAAGATTTTCTATGGGGTTGAGATCTGGAGACTGGCTAGGCCACTCCAGGACCTTGAAATGCTTCTTACGAAGCCACTCCTTCGTTGCCCGGGCGGTGTGTTTGGGATCATTGTCATGCTGAAAGACCCAGCCACGTTTCATCTTCAATGCCCTTGCTGATGGAAGGAGGTTTTCACTCAAAATCTCACGATACATGGCCCCATTCATTCTTTCCTTTACACGGATCAGTCGTCCTGGTCCCTTTGCAGAAAAACAGCCCCAAAGCATGATGTTTCCACCCCCATGCTTCACAAATAGGTATGGTGTTCTTTGGATGCAACTCAGCATTCTTTGTCCTCCAAACACGACGAGTTGAGTTTTTACCAAAAAGTTATATTTTTGTTTCATCTGACCATATGACATTCTTCCAATCCTCTTCTGGATCATCCAAATGCACTCTAGCAAACATCAGACGGGCCTGGACATGTACTGGCTTAAGCAGGGGGACATGTCTGGCACTGCAGGATTTGAGTCCCTGGCAGCGTAGTGTGTTACTGATGGTAGGCTTTGTTACTTTGGTCCCAGCTCTCTGCAGGTCATTCACTAGGTCCCCCCGTGTGGTTCTGGGATTTTTGCTCACCGTTCTTGTGATCATTTTGACCCCACGGGGTGAGATCTTGCGTGGAGCCCCAGATCGAGGGAGATTATCAGTGGTCTTGTATGTCTTCCATTTCCTAATAATTGCTCCCACAGTTGATTTCTTCAAACCAAGCTGCTTACCTGTTGCAGATTCAGTCTTCCCAGCCTGCAGCAGGTCTACAATTTTGTTTCTGGTGTCCTTTGACAGCTCTTTGGTCTTGGCCATAGTGGAGTTTGGAGTGTGACTGTTTGAGGTTGTGGACAGGTGTCTTTTATACTGATAACAAGTTCAAACAGGTGCCATTAATACAGGTAACGAGTGGAGGACAGAGGAGCCTCTTAAAGAAGAAGTTACAGGTCTGTGAGAGCCAGAAATCTTGCTTGTTTGTAGGTGACCAAATACTTATTTTCCACCATAATTTGCAAATAAATTCATTAAAAATCCTACAATGTGATTTTCTGGATTTTTTTCTTCTCAATTTGTCTGTCATAGTTGACATGTACCTGTGATGAAAATTACAGGCCTCTCTCATCTTTTTAAGTGGGAGAACTTGCACAATTGGTGGCTGACTAAATAGTTATTTTCCCCCACTGTACATTTCTGAGGTAAACGAAAACCCACGACTGAAGTTTTACCCCCCTTCTCCACACTTTGTTACACACTGACCCCTGACCGTAGTATATCTGAATTATTTTACAGCAAATTCCACTGTTGAAATGTCCAACAAAACATTTATAAAACACTTTATTGGTAATGCATGTGATTTGTAAAACTTTTTTTCCTCTCAATACAAACAGAAAACAGTTCAACCTGTTTCATTTCAAATACATTGTCTTTCTTATAAAAAAAATATTAAAAACTTGGCACACTTTATTATTTTATTTTTTTAAAACATACAAAACAATAACTTACCAGTCAAAATATGCTTTGACAGCTACAGTGAGGGAAAAAAGTATTTGATCCCCTGCTGATTTTGTACGTTTGCCCACTGACAAAGAAATTATCATTTTAATGGTAGGTTTATTTGAACAGTGAGAAACAGAATAACAACAAAAAAATCCAGAAAAACGCATGTCAAAAATGTTATAAATTGATTTGCATTTTAATGAGGGAAATAAGTATTTGACCCCCTCTCAATCAGAAAGATTTCTGGCTCCCAGGTGTCTTTTATACAGGTAACGAGCTGAGATTAGGAGCACACTCTTAAAGGGAGTGCTCCTAATCTCAGTTTGTTACTTGTATAAAAGACACCTGTCCACAGAAGCAATCAATCAATTAGATTCCAAACTCTCCACCATGGCCAAGCCCAAAGAGCTCGCCAAGGATGTCATGGGCTACAAGACCATTGCCAAGCAGCTTGGTGAGAAGGTGACAACAGTTGGTGCGATTATTCACAAATGGAAGAAACACAAAAGAACTGTCAATCTCCCTCGGCCTGGGGCTCCATGCAAGATCTCACCTTGTGGAGTTGCAATGATCATGAGAATGGTGAGGAATCAGCCCAGAACTATACGGGAGGATCTTGTCAATGATCTCAAGGCAGCTGGGACCATAGTCACCAAGAAAACAATTGGTAACACACTATGCCGTGAAGGACTGAAATCCTGCAGCGCCCGCAAGGTCCCCCTGCTCAAGAAAGCACATATACAGGGCCGTCTGAAGTTTGCCAATGAACATCTGAATGATTCAGAGGAGAACTGGGTGAAAGTGTTGTGGTCAGATGAGACCAAAATCAAGCTCTTTGGCATCAACTCAACTCGCCGTGTTTGGAGGAGGAGGAATGCTGCCTATGACCCCAAGAACACCATCCCCACCGTCAAACATGGAGGTGGAAACATTATGCTTTGGGAAATGTTTCTGCTAAGGGGACAGGACAACTTCACCATATCAAAGGGACGATGGACGGGGCTATTTACCGTAAAATCTTGGGTGAGAACCTCCCTCCCTCAGCCAGGGCATTGAAAATGGGTCGTGGATGGGTATTCCAGCATGACAACGACCCAAAACACACGGCCAAGGCAACAAAGGAGTGGCTCAAGAAGAGGCACATTAAGGTCCTGGAGTGGCCTAGCCAGTCTCCAGACCTTAATCCCATAGAAAATCTGTGGAGGGAGCTGAAGGTTCGAGTTGCCAAACGTCAGCCTCGAATCCTTAATGATTTGGAGAAGATCTGCAAAGAGGAGTGGAACAAAATCCCTCCTGAGATGTGTGCAAACCTGGTGGCCAACTACAAGAAACGTCTGACCTCTGTGATTGCCAACAAGGGTTTTGCCACCAAGTACTAAGTCATGTTTTGCAGAGGGGTCAAATACTTATTTCCCTCATTAAAATGCAAATCAATTTATAACATTTTTGACATGTGTTTTTCTGGATGTTTTTGTTGTTATTCTGTCTCTCACTGTTAAAATAAACCTACCATTAAAATTATAGACTGATCATTTCTTTGTCAGTGGGCAAACGTACAAAATCAGCAGGGGATCAAATACTTTATTCCCTCACTGTATAGCTGTTTTAGGAGCTTGGTTTAGGAGGTGTACCCCCCCAAATACAGTGGAGACAAGGCATGATAGGTGTGATATGGGCTCTATTTTGATACTTGCTTCCTCTGAAAAGGCTTTTATCCAGTTCAATACTGGAAACTGCATGAGCATTTAGGCTACGTTTACACAGGCAGCCCAATTCTGATATTTTTCCACTAATGAGTATTTTGACCAATCAGATCTTTTACCCATAATTGGGCTCCCTGTGTAAATGCAGCCGTAGTTACCGTTGTGTTTTCTTGCTGTAAAGGGTTGTGCTTTAAGTAATTGGCCGTCTACCGTGTGATGCAGTCAGTAGTTGGCCGTCTACCCTGTGATGCAGTCAGTCGGAAGCTGCATGATTTTACATCACTAAAACAAATCTCGAAAACCAAACAAATCTTGACACATGCACATTGGTACGTGAACCATTGGCAAATCATTCACATTATCTCACATAACAAGAGGAAACGCCAAAGAACTATGACCCAAAATATGAACAATACAACAGTAATGGAACATGGATAAATGAGAAACTAATGTCCTTCAATACTTTGACTTGAAGATGTCTTCATCTTATACAAAGGAGTGCCAGAAGAGAAGGAGCTTCCAATCCCACTGGATGTTAGCCTGAAATCCAGACCTATTTTGTGCCAACATGCCACTCCTTGTACTCTGTATCATACCAAACATGACAACATTTGATTTGAACGTTAGCACAAACAGACTGGTACCCAGGCGAACTTCATGCACTTTAGTTTAAAATATGTGCTTTATCAGGACATGAAGGGATCATTCTCAACCTTATTGGGCCCGGGGTCACACAGACAGTGTGCTAGTCTTTGGTAGTCCAACTCTCCCTGGTTGCTGTCTGATACAGTACCCCTGGGTCCTCCGCCTTCCGCTTTCAGGTTACCCCTCATACAGTACCCCTGGGTCCTCCGCCATCCGCTTTCAGGTTACCCCTCTTGGGTACCTCTGCCTCTAGGCTGACAGCGTCAGGTGTTCTTGGAGTCAAAGGCTGCTCAAAATGGACAGTAGGGACACTGTCGGCACTGAAAACCTGGTTGTCTAAAATAAATGAGTAGAGTATTATACATCAATAAGATACTACAAGACTATCTGATCATAGTCTTGCTACTACAAATTGCCATTTGTTTTCAATACCACAACATAATGGGGATATAGAGTGACTCATTTTTTAAGCAGGACTGAGTTTGGGAAACCCTGTGTTAGAGACTGACTGACCGGATTCAAACCTGACTCTCCGGACCCCAGGCCTAGGTGACGCCCGGTTGGCTGGAACAGTGAGGTAGTGGCTCATCTGCAGAGACAATAGTGTTACAACGTCACAAATAGGCTTCATTATTGCAATGAGGTAAAATCTCTACAATGTCGAAGACATAGCCATAGCCAAGAAAGAACACTAGACTGGGGTCCATTCAATACACTGACCATCCTCTCCATCACACTGACCCTCCTCTCCATCACACTGACCCTCCTCTCCATCCCACTGACCCTCCTCTCCATCACACTGACCCTCCTCTCCATCCCACTGACCCTCCTCTCCATCCCTTCCACTCCATCACACTGACCCTCCTCTCCAACCCCTCCTCTCCATCCCACTGACCCTCCTCTCCATCCCACTGACCCTCCATCACACTGACCCTCCTCTCCATCCCTTCCTCTCCATCACACTGACCCTCCTCTCCATCACCTCCTCTCCATCCCACTGACCCTCCTCTCCATCACACTGACCCTCCTCTCCATCCCACTGACCCTCCTCTCCATCCCACTGACCCTCCTCTCCATCCCACTGACCCTCCTCTCCATCACACTGACCCTCCTCTCCATCTTCCTCAGATGCACCTCACTCACGTTGTCCTCCTCATCGGCGTCGAACAGAGCGTGTCTGCTATAGGAGAATGAGCACATCTGAGGAGACAGGGAACAGGGTGTTTGCAGCCAGAAGATAAACATATCTAAGCAACTGTAAGAGTGCGGAGTCCGCATCATGAACAGTTTACTGGTCGTCTCTACCGCTGGTGGTATTTCCTTCAGATATTCAACTTCAACTCAGCCTCCTTCTTTAAAAGTGTCCAACTCACTCTTTGCTTGTTGTTCTGCAGGTTGGACCTCAGGATCCTTCTGATCTCTTCCTCCCGTTTCTTAGAGACCCGTGGAGTCGCACTGAGCTGGATGTTCCTGGGAAGACACAGATCAGAAAGGAAATAACAAAACGCCATCACACCCAAGTCAGGAACCCAGAAAGACCACTGTTAGCCTAGCCTGGTTCCAGATCTTTTTGCACCATCTTGCCAACTCCTGGTCATTGTCAAGCAGCATGACTAAGCTCTGGTGGAGAGGATGTGGACAGTAATGGGCCCTTACTGCATGGATGATAAATACTAAGGACGGGATGCACACAGGAACAAAATTAAGTACATTCTACTTCTTAAACTCAAAAATCGCAACGTTAAAGAAACAGGAGCCAATACTTACTGCATGGAGACAGTGGAGGGGAGGGCCGAGGGCAGCTGCCCACTCTCCACCAGCATGATAGCCTGCTTCAGCTCCATCTTTCGGTAGAAGGCGATCAACTCAGGTTCCATGAAGTTCTCACCAGCTATCAGCCACCTCTTCACATAGGTCTTGTTGAAGCGGTTCAGCCTGATATGATAAGAGAGGAATGGAAAGGGAGAGAGAGTGAGGGGGGAGAGAGTGAAAGTGAGGGGAAGAGAGGGGGGAGGGGGGAGAGAGCGAGAGAGAGAGCAAGCGAGAGAGCGCGAGAGAGAGAGCGAGCGAGCGAAAGTTGATAATACGTGGACATTTAAATGGCAATAGAAGTATATCAATCTCCCAGTATGTTTGGAATGGGATCCATACTTCTCCTTCCAGTGATAATGCCCATAATGACCACGGACACCCTCAACGCCTGTGAGGAGATGGTCCAGGAACTAAGAGAGAAAATGCAGGGTTTACAAAGTCTATCTGATTAAAAACACACTAAGAGTGTACTAGAAATAGAAGTATCCCATATTATTATTATTATTATTATTATAAGTGTAATATGATAATATAGCTAATACAACAGTATAATATTTATTATAAACTGAGTGGGTCGAGATCTGAATTCTGATTGGCTGACAGCTGTGGTATACCACGGATATGACAAAACGTTTATTTTTACTGCTCTAATTACGTTGGTAACCAGTTTATAATAGCAATAAGGCACCTCTGGGTTTTGTGGTATATAGCCAATATACCACGGCTAAGGGCTGTATCCAGGCACTGCCTAAGAACAGCCCTTAGCCGTTGTATATTGGCCATATACCACACCCCCTCGGGCCTTAATGCTTAAGTATTCCATATAATACTGCTCATCACCTGTGTGTGAATCTCCTGGTTGATGGAAGGCTTTCTCTCCTTCCGCTTCACAGCCAGTAGCTCAACCAAAGGCCTGATTGTCATGCCCTGAAAACAAAAACATAAAAGCGCTAGTTACAGTAGTTGTAAAGCACAGGAGTTTGGTGGCACCTTAATTGGGGAGGATGGGCTCGTGGTAATGGCTGGAGTGGAATGGTATCAAACGCATGGTTTCTATGTGACTGATGCCATTCCATTTGCTCCGTTCCAGCCATTATTATGAGCTGTCCTCCCCTCAGCGGCTGTTGTAAAGGGATCCCAGTCTACATAAGCAGGTCAAAGTGTGCTGTTTCACTCTCTCACAGATACACAGTAGAGTCTAGGGCTGTTTAAACTCAGAGCAGGGCTGTCAAACTCATTCCAATCCGAGCGTCTGCTGGTTTTTGTCATTTCAATTTAATTTCAATTTGTGTCCAGTTAAGACCCAGACAACCAGGTGAGGGGAGTTCTTAACTAATTAGTGACCTTAATTCATCAATCAAGTACAAGGGAGGAGTGAAAACCTGCAGACACTCGGCCCTCTGTGGAATGAGTTTGACACCTGTGCTTTACAGCATCACTCAGATTGGTGGCTTTCCCCTGCTGAGACGTTGCATTGCATCAACGCCATAGAACAGCGCCGGAGAAGATGGCTGCCGTTTTACAGCCCTCTAACCAATTGTACTATTATGTGTGTTTTTCCGCGTTATTTGTAATTTATTTTGTACATAATGTGTCTGCCACCGTCTCTTATAACCAAAAAGAGCTTCTGGATATCAGGACAGCGATTACTCACCTCGTATTGGACGAAGATTTTTTCTTCAACGAGGCGGCCGCGAAGGATATCATACAGACACACGACAAGGCCCAAATCCCCGTCATTCGCGTGAGGAAGAGACGGAGATATCGTGGACGTAGATCGGGGTGCCTTGTAAAGATCCGACGGCGAGCGAGTAAACTGCCTCTTCCATCAATCCTATTAGCCAACGTTCAATCATTTGAAAATAAATTGGACGACTTAAGATTACGGTTATCCTACCAACGGGACATTAAAAACTGTAATATCTTATGTTTCACCGAGTCGTGGCTGAACGACGACATGGATTTCATACAGCTAGCGGGCTATACGCTACATCGGCAGGATAGAACGGCTGACTCCGGTAAGACAAGGGGTGGCGGTCTGTGTATATTTGTAAACAACAGCTGGTGCACAAAATCAAATACGAAGTCTCGAGGTTTTGCTCACCTGAGGTAGAGTATCTTATGATAAGCTGTAGACCACACTATTTACCAAGAGAGTTTTCATCTATATTTTTCATAGCTGTCTATTTACCACCACAAACCAATGCTGGCATTAAGATTGCACTGAATGAGTTGTACAAGGCCATAAATCAACAGGAAAACGCTCATCCAGATGCAGCGCTCCTAGTGGCCGGGGACTTTAATGCAGGGAAACTTAAATCCGTTCTACCTAATTTCTACCAGCATGTTAAATGTGCAACCAGAGGAAAAAAAACTCTAGACCACCTTTACTCCACACACAGAGACGCATACAAAGCTCTCCCTCGCTCTCCATTTGGCAAATCTGACCATAACTCTATCCTCCTGATTCCTGCTTATAAGCAAAAACTAAAGCAGGAAGCACCAGTGACTCGGTTAATAAAAAAGTGGTCAGATGACGCAGATGCTAAGCTACAGGACTGTTTTGCTAGCACAGACTGGAACATGTTCCGGGATTCTTCAGACAGCATTGAGGAGTACACCACATCAGTCACTGGCTTCATCAATAAGTGCATCGATGATGTCGTCCCCACAGTGACCGTACGTACATACCCCAACCAGAAGCCACTGCCGCTTTCAAGGAACGGGACTCTAACCCGGACGCTTATAAGAAATCCCGCTATGACCTCCGACGAACCATCAAACAGGCAAAGAGTCAATACAGGACTAAGATTGAATCGTACTACACTGGCTCTGACGCTCGTCGGATGTGGCAGGGCTTGAAAACTATTACAGACTACAAAGGGAAGCACAGCCGCGAGCTGCCCAGTGACACAAGCCTACCAGACGAGCTAAACCACTTCTATGCTCGCTTCGAGGCAAGCAACACTGAAGCATGCATGAGAGCACCAGCTGTTCCGGATGACTATGTGATCACGCTCTCCGTAGCCGATGTGAGTAAGACTTTTAAGCAGGTCAACATTCACAAGGCCGCAGGGCCAGACGGATTACCAGGACGTGTACTCCGAGCATGTGCTGACCAACTGGCAAGTGTCTTCACTGACATTTTCAACATGTCCCTGACTGAGTCTGTAATACCAACATGTTTCAAGCAGACCACCATAGTCCCCGTGCCCAAGGACTCTAAGATAACCTGCCTAAATGACTACCGACCCGTAGCACTGACGTCTGTAGCCATGAAGTGCTTTGAAAGGCTGGTCATGGCTCACATCAACAGCATTATCCCAGAAACCCAAGACCAACTCCAATTTGCATACCGCCCCAACAGATCCACAGACGATGCAATCTCTATTGCACTCCACACTGCCCTTTCCCACCTGGACAAGAGGAACACCTACGTGAGAATGCTATTCATTGACTACAGCTCAGCATTCAATACCATAGTGCCCTCTAAGCTCATCACTAAGCTAAGGATCCTGGGACTAAACACCTCCCTCTGCAACTGGATCCTGGACTTCCTGACGGGCCGCCCCCAGGTGGTAAGGGTAGGTAACAACACATCTGCCACACTGATCCTCAACACGGGGGCCCCTCAGGGGTGCGTGCTCAGTCCCCTCCTGTACTCTCTGTTCACCCATGACTGCATGGCCAGGCACGACTCCAACACCATCATTAAGTTTGCCGACGACACAACAGTGGTAGGCCTGATCACCGACAACGATGAGACAGCCTATAGGGAGGAGGTCAGAGACCTGGCCGTGTGGTGCCAGGACAACAACCTCTCCCTCAACGTGACCAAGACAAAGGAGATGATTGTGGACTACAGGAAAAAAAAGAGGACTGAGCACGCCCCCCATTCTCATCGACGGGGCTGTAGTGGAACAGGTTGAGAGCTTCAAGTTCCTTGGTGTCCACATCACCAACGAACTATCATGGTCTAAACACACCAAGACAGTCGTGAAGAGAGCACGACAAAGCCTATTCCCCCTCAGGAGACTGAAAAGATTTGGCATGGGTCCACAGATCCTCAAAAAATTCTACAGCTGCACCATCGAGAGCATCCTGACTGGTTGCATCACCGCCTGGTATGGCAACTGCTTGGCCTCCGACCGCAAGGCACTACAGAGGGTAGTGCGTACGGCCCAGTACATCACTGGGGCCAAGCTTCCTGCCATCCAGGACCTCTATACCAGGCGGTGTCAGAGGAAGGCCCTCAAAATTGTCAAAGACTCCAGCCACCCTAGTCATAGACTGTTCTCTCTGCTACCGCACGGCAAGCGGTACCGCAGTGCCAAGTCTAGGTCCAAAAGACTTCTCAACAGCTTCTACCCCCAAGCCATAAGACTCCTGAACAGCTAATCATGGCTACCCGGACTATTTGCACTGCCCCCCCACCCCATCCTTTTTACGCTGCTGCTACTCTGTTAATTATTTATGCATAGTCACTTTAACTCTACCCACATGTACATATTACCTCAACTACCTCAACTAGCCGGTGCCCCCGCACATTGACTCTGCAACGGTACCCCCCTGTATATATAGCCTCCCTACTGTCACTTTATTTTACTTCTGCTCTTTTTTCTCTCAACACTTTTTTTGTTGTTGTTTTATTTTTACTTTTTTTGTAAAAAATAAAATGCACTGTTGGTTAAGGGCTGTAAGTAAGCATTTCACTGTAATGTCTGCACCTGTTGTATTCGGCGCATGTGACCAATAAAATTTCATTTGATTTGATTTGGTTGCGTGCCACGTCATCGACTGTGCCGTCAGGCACCAAATTGCTATACAACATTTGATGTGGTAAAAGCTGTAAGATCTGGCATGCGTCAGCAACGCCTGGGCAGAGGAACGCGCCCCTTGTCCACCTCACCTGCACAAACACAGTGAAGAAGATCACAGTGATGATGGCTGTCAGGAACAAGTTCCTCATCCGGTGATTACTTGACAGCAGATAACCCAGGGAAAAGGCTATGGCCCCTCGCAGGCCACCGTAGGCCACGATGAACTGGTCCTTTTTGGTCAACCTGACAATCCGGAATTTGTTGATGATGAACGTAAGGCCAATCACTCCTGAAACACACGCACAGATGGAACGATAATACATTTTTGTTTAAACTATAACGGTTACATTATAATGTTACTTTATTTCAACTACTGCTTTTAATGTGTTACTTATTTAATTTGATTATGTCTATTTTACTGAAAAGTATATTGAGATGTTTAAATGCACATAAAATAAAGGTTAAATTGATTTAAACATTTTGCTTTATACTGACCCAGTACTGGTGACACCAGACAGAGGATGGTACTGACCCAGTACTCGTGACACCAGACAGAGGATGGTACTGACCCAGTACTCGTGACACCAGACAGAGGATGGTACTGACCCAGTACTCGTGACACCAGACAGAGGATGGTACTGACCCAGTATTCGTGACACCAGACAGAGGATGCTACTGACCCAGTATTCGTGACACCAGACAGAGGATGGTACTGACCCAGTATTCGTGACACCAGACAGAGGATGGTACTGACCCAGTACTCGTGACACCAGACAGAGGATGGTACTGACCCAGTACTCGTGACACCAGACAGAGGATGGTACTGACCCAGAATTCGTGACACCAGACAGAGGATGGTACTGACCCAGTACTCGTGACACCAGACAGAGGATGGTACTGACCCAGTATTCGTGACACCAGACAGAGGATGGTACTGACCCAGTACTCGTGACACCAGACAGAGAATGGTACTGACCCAGTACTCGTGACACCAGACAGAGAATGACGGTGACGATGACGAAGGTCCAGTTCCAGGCGTGCGGCCCGGCCACCGTGGACACGCCCAGGAAGATGAAGATAAGTGTCTCGCTCACACTGCTCCACATCTTCAGGAAGTACTTGGTGGTGGTGTAGGACTTGTGGGATATGTTGGCCTCCACATAGGGCCGCATCACGACCCCACATGCTATCAAACTATGGTGAAAAAAACGACAAGTTGATTTTCATTGTAACTTCATGTTCATTTATCAAATTGATAATAAGTCAATGTCAGTTCATCTTGTAGAATGATGTACTACAGTACCCATAATGCTCTATGGAACACACTGAAGCCAACATAATGGTGTCCCATCTCCTTATCAATACACATCTGTTATCTGTCAAATAGCTACTTACGCCATGATACCAGAGAGATGGAACATCTCGGCGGAGAGGTAGGCCATGTAGCTGTAGAGGAAGACGAAGAGGGGTTCGATGACGCGGCTGTGTGAGGTGAAGCGAGAGGTGAAGGCTGCCAGGACGCCGTAGATGGCCCCCACCAGGACCCCTCCCAAGGACACCACGAAGAAACACACCACGCCTAGGAGCACATCTAATACAGTGACCGTCCCCACTTTGGAGAACTCCTCAAACAGGTTGTACAGAACCTGCATGGAGGGACGAAAGAAGGGGTCAGTGGAAGCGCGCACAGATCTATGCGAGGGTCCCAAATGGCACCCTATTCGCTATATAGTGCACTTCTTTTGACCAGAGCCCTTTGGGCCCTTATCAAAAGTAGTGCACTACATAGGAAATGGGGATAGGGTGCCATTTGGGATGCACAAATTGAGATTTTCTATCAACTAGATTTAGCAATAGTTGTTGATTTGGTTCTGCTTCACGTTCATATCTTCGGGAAGATGTTTGGGGGTGGGGGTGGGGGTGCCTATTGGTTGAATGATAAATTACTTAACATCATTATACATGGAATGTATACAGCCCAATCACTACAGTATGTAAATAGTATCCTTCTACCAAACTCCAGGTACTAGAGTTGAGTCCCAAATGGAACCCTATTTTCTATATAGTGCACTACTTTTGACCAGTATGTACTTTTGCACTATGTAGGGAACAGGGTGACATTTGGGAAGCACCCTAGTTGGATCAGCCCCTCAGTCTTTGGAACACTGTGACCATTCTCACTGCCAGGCAGTAAATACCCTCCTATTGCTTCACTGCTCCATTAAATAACATCTGCCTCGGTTTGGGTGATAAGGTTGTACGCTGAATCAGTGGCCGGGTTGGCATAGAGTCAGAGCCATTTTGCTGAGTAATATCTACACCTGCCAAAAGCACCCAAACTACCATTCGGCATCTATACTGAACATAAATATAAAGGCAACATGCAACAATTTCAATGATTTTACTGAGTTACAGTTCATATAAGGAAATCAGTCAATTGAAATAAATTCATTAGGCCCTAATCTATGGATTTCACATGACTGGGCAGGGGCGCAGCCATGGGTGGGCCTGGGAGGGCATAGGCCCACCCACTTGGGAGCCAGGCCCAGCCAATCATAATGTGTTTTTCCCCACAAAAGGGCGTTATTACAGACAGAAATAATCCTCAGTTTCATCAGCTGTCCGGGTGGCTAGTCTCAGACGATCCCGCAGGTGAAGAACTGGATGTGGAAGTCCTGGGCTGGCGTGGTTACACATGGTCTGCGGTTGTGAGGCCGGTTGGATGTACTGCCAAATTCTCTAGAACGACGTTGGAGGCGGCTTATGGTAGAGAAGTTAACATAAAATTCTCTGGCAACAGCTCTGGTGGACATTACTGCAGTCAGCATGTCAATTGCACGCTCCCTTAAAACTTGAGATGTCTGTGGCATTGTGCTGTGTGACAAAACTGCACATTTTAGAGTGGCCTTTTGTACTCAGCACAAGGTGCACCTGTGTAATGATCATGCTGTTTAATCAGCTTCTTGATATGTCACACCTGTCAGGTGGATGGATTACCTTGGCAACGGAGAAATGCTCACTAACCGGGATGTAAACTAAATTTGTTACACCAAACATTTGAGAGAAATAAGCTTTTTGTGCGTATGGAACATTTCTGGGATTTTTTATTTCAGCTCATAGGACTAACACTTTTACATGTTGCGTTTATATTTTTGTTCAGTACATTAATGTCCGTTTTATGTACAGTACCAGTCAAATCAAAAATCTCAAATTTGGACTCCAGACCATAGGACAAATTTCCACCGGTCTAATGTCCATTGCTTGTGTTTCTTGGCCCAAGCAGGTCTCTTCTTATTGGTGTTCTTTAGTAGTGGTTTCTTTGCAGTAATTCGACCATGAAGGCCTGATTCACACAGCAATTTCTGAGGCTGGTAACTCTAATGAACTTATCCTCTGCAGCAGAGGTAACTCTGGGTCTTCCATTCCTGTGGTGGTCCTCATCATAGCGCTTGATGGTTGTTGCAACAGCACTTGAAGAAACTTTCAAAGTTCTTGAAATGTTCCGTATTGACTGACCTTCATTTCTTAAAGTAATGATAGACTGTCGTTTCTCTTTGCTTATTTGAGCTGTTCTTGACATAATATGGACTTGGTCTTTTACCAAATAGGGCTATCTTCTGTATACCAACCCTACCTTGTCACAACACAAATGCATTAAGAAGGAAAGACATTCCACAAATTAACTTTTAACAAGGCATACCTGTTAATTGAAATGCATTCCAGGTGACTACCTCATGAAGCTGGTTGAGATAATGCCAAGAGTGTGCAAAGCTCATAAAGGCAAAGGGTGGCTTTTTGAAGAATCTCAAATATAAAATCTATTTTGATTTGTTTAACACTTTTTTGGTTGATTCCATATGCGTTATTTCATAGTTTTGATGTCTTCACAATTATTCTACAATGTAAAAAATAGTACAAATAAAGAAAAACCTTTGAATGAGTAGGTGTGTCCAAACTTTTGACTGGTATTGTATACAGTGAGCCGTTGAAGCTACGGCTATCTCCCTGCCGTTAGAGCTAGCTGAGAGGAAAGTGCACCGTCATGGTTAATGCAAAATTGATTATACTCATCCTCCTCAGCTGTGAGAACACTGGCTGCCTGTTAAAGGGGGTGGCTTGTGGCGTCAGCCACACGTCTGGAAATGAACACTGAATTTACACAGCTGGCAATAAGGGAACAAAACAGATCCCGTCATGTTAACTTGAGTTGAATGGGTTTGATTGAAACGATCCAACTTTGTACACAGAAACAGAGAGGCAGCAACCTTTAACCTCACCCGGAGTTAAAGACAGCCTCTCCATATTTATAGGTCTGGTTCAATTTGTCCTAATCTTCACTGCCAACACCCACCACAGTTTAATAAACTGAAGTGATAGTGGCAAGAGCAGTGTGCGGGTCTTTCTTTATATAGACATCATTGAATTATTCCCACGCACCTGCAACAAGGCTACTCAGATGTTCGAGTGCTTTTCCTATTTTGAACACTCACCACAGTGACAGCATCATTGAGAAGGGACTCCCCAAATACCAGGATGTGGATCAGCTCATTGATGTGGATCTTCTCGAACACAGCCAGCACGGCCACCGGGTCCACGGCCGAGACGATGGAGCCGAAGAGCAGGCAGGCCAACAGGTCCACGCCGGTCAGACCCACGCTCTCGATCTGGCACAAGGCATACAGCAATCCTCCCACGAAGAAGGCATTCCACAGGGTACCTAAAAGAATGAGAGAATGGATTATTTCAATAAGGCTGAATTATTTGATAACATTTTCACAGGGTAAATAATAGTAGTAGTAGAAGTTCACTTTATCATCCCACAATGGGAAAATGGTATCCTGGGTACCAGTCTGTTTGTCCCATCATGCCACTCCTTGACCAGGCTAGGAAATTGGTTTGCGGCAGTTTAAAAATACATAATATTATGTCATGATAACATGACAACATGAATCATAACAGCAACAAATACATAGCAGCAAATACATCTGTATACAAATTACACTGGAGGGACGGGATAACGTTCTTAGCAGACCCTTGTTGACCCTGCTGGTCATCTATGAACGTTTGAACGTCTTGAAGAACGATCTGGCCTAAATGGCCATGTACTCTTATAATCTCTGGCTGACACAGCCAGAAGAGGACTGGCCACTCCTCAGAGCCTGGTTCCTCTCTAGGTTTCTTCCTAGGTTCCTGCCTTTCTAGAGTCTTTCCTAGCCACGGTGCTTCTACATCTGCATTGCTTGCTGTTTTTTTTTTTTTAGCTGGGTTTCTGTATAAGCACTATGTGAAAAACTGATGATGTAAAAAAGGGCTGAATAAAATAAATGTGATTGATTGAGCAGTCCGTACTTAGCTTACCTATAACCGCAAACACCAAGATGGTGCCCACGTTCTCTGTGAAGGGCCGGATGGGGAGGAAGTAGCCTGCGTCGAGGATGATGGGCGGAAGGAGGCACAGGAAGAAGAGCTGGGAGTCCAGTACAGGGGGCTCCTCTCCGATCACCTTGATGAGTCCCCCCACCAGCAGCCCCACCATGATCAGCAGGCAGCTCTCTGGGACCACGCCGGACAGACGGGGGATCAGATCGAAACCTGGGGGGAAGATGGGATAGGTAATGTTATTTATGTTCATGTTAAGACATATGTCTGCTGTACGACAGGGGACTGTATTCATGAAGTGTCTCAGAGCAGGAGTGCTGATCTACGATTAGGTCCCCCCGCCCATGTAATCTTATTCATTATGATCTAAAAGGCAAAACTGATCCTAGATCTTAAACTTTTTTTGCTTTATGAATCCGGGGCTGGGTCAGTAGTAGGACAGTGGGTTTGTTACTATGACATTGCCGTATCGAGGCAAGAATGTGTGGCAATTTTCTCCCTATGTTGATTCAGCCTCTGTTGCAATTGTCTTGAGATGTGTACTGAATGATATGAAAAGACAGTGCCTGTCGAAGTGGTTAAAGGTACTTTAAGTTCACAGCATACACACATAACCACTTCATTCTTAGATCAATTAAAATGCTAAAAATCAGTTACTTTTGCATCGCTGTAAGTCTGAGCTCTCGTGAAAAAAAAAAAAAAAAAAGGCCTTTTTTAGACCGCTATTTTAGGCAACACACATGCTACTGCAGTAGTTAGTCATAGATCAACCATGCCGGTGCTGCAACTGCAGATAACTGAAGCCCTTAGTAAGAAATGTCTGAGGATACAAACCCTAGCAGTCTTCTACCTCAGGAGTCTCTGACTAACATACAGTGGGGAAAAAAGTATTTAGTCAGCCACCAATTGTGCAAGTTCTCCCACTTAAAAAGATGAGAGAGGCCTGTCATTTTCATCATAGGTACACGTCAACTATGACAGACAAAATGAGGAAAAAAAATCCAGAAAATCACATTGTAGGATTTATAATTAATTTATTTGCAAATTATGGTAGAAAATAAGTATTTGGTCAATAACAAAAGTTTCTCAATACTTTGTTATATACCCTTTGTTGGCAATGACACAGGTCAAACGTTTTCTGTAAGTCTTCACAAGGTTTTCACACACTGTTGCTGGTATTTTGGCCCATTCCTCCATGCAGATCTCCTCTAGAGCAGTGATGTTTTGGGGCTGTCGCTGGGCAACACAGACTTTCAACTCCCTCCAAAGATTTTCTATGGGGTTGAGATCTGGAGACTGGCTAGGCCACTCCAGGACCTTGAAATGCTTCTTACGAAGTCACTCCTTCGTTGCCCGGGCGGTGTGTTTGGGATCATTGTCATGCTGAAAGACCCAGCCACGTTTCATCTTCAATGCCCTTGCTGATGGAAGGAGGTTTTCACTCAAAATCTCACGATACATGGCCCCATTCATTCTCTCCTTTACACGGATCAGTCGTCCTGGTCCCTTTGCAGAAAAACAGCCCCAAAGAATGATGTTTCCACCCCCATGCTTCACAGTAGGTATGGTGTTCTTTGGATGCAACTCAGCATTCTTTGTCCTCCAAACACGACGAGTTGAGTTTTTACCAAAAATATCTATTTTGGTTTCATCTGACCATATGACATTCTCCCAATCCTCTTCTGGATCATCCAAATGCACTCTAGCAAACTTCAGACGGGCCTGGACATGTACTGGCTTAAGCAGGGGGACACGTCTGGCACTGCAGGATTTGAGTCCCTGGCGGCGTAGTGTGTTACTGATGGTAGGCTTTGTTACTTTGGTCCCAGCTCTCTGCAGGTCATTCACTAGGTACCCCGTGTGGTTCTGGGATTTTTGCTCACCGTTCTTGTCATCATTTTGACCCCACGGGGTGAGATCTTGCGTGGAGCCCCAGATCGAGGGAGATTATCAGTGGTCTTGTATGTCTTCCATTTCCTAGTAATTGCTCCCACAGTTGATTTCTTCAAACCAAGCTGCTTACCTATTGCAGATTCAGTCTTCCCAGCCTGGTGCAGGTCTACAATTTTGTTTCTGGTGTCCTTTGACAGTTCTTTGGTCTTGGCCATAGTGGAGTTTGGAGTGTGACTGTTTGAGGTTGTGGAGAGGTGTCTTTTATACTGATAACAAGTTCAAACAGGTGCCATTAATACAGGTAACGAGTGGAGGACAGAGGAGCCTCTTAAAGAATAAGTTACAGGTCTGTGAGAGCCAGAAATCTTGCTTGTTTGTAGGTGACCAAATACTTATTTTCCACCATAATTTGCAAATAAATTCATTAAAAATCCTACAATGTGATTTTCTGGATTTTTTCCCCTCAATTTGTCTGTCATAGTTGACGTGTACCTATGATGAAAATTACAGGCCTCTCTCATCTTTTTAAGTGGGAGAACTTGCACAATTGGTGGCTGACTAAATACTTTTTCCCCCCACTGTATGTCTATGAGTAATGGAACATTGTCATTTACCGTATCTGGGAATGGGGCGGGAACCACAAAAAAAACCATACATAACTCAGCAACAGCACATATCCCCCCACAGTCACACACCATACACCTGGGGGCCCTTGTGGGGCCACCCCAGGTGGTGAAGGTAGGAAACAACATCTCCACTTCACTGATCCTCAACACTGGGGCCCCACAAGGGTAGGTGCTCAGTCACAGACTACAACAGGAAAACCAGCCACGTCGCGGACACCGACGGCTTGCTGCCAGACAAGCTAAACAAGTTCTTTGCCCGCTTTGAGGATAACACAGTGCCAGCGACGTGGCCAGCTACCAAGAACTGTGGGCTCTCCTTCTCCATGGCCGACGTGAGTAACCCTCGATTGTAGACTTACACATGGCTGGAATGGGCTACAAGACCATCGCCAAGCAGCTTGGTGAGAAGGTGACAACCAACTGTTGGGTGGTGCGATTATTCGCAAATTGAAGAAACACAAAAGAACTGTCAATCTCCCTCGGCCTGGGGCTCCATGCAAGATCTCACCTCGTGGAGTTGCAATGATCATGAGAACGGTGAGGAATCAGCCCAGAACTACACGGGAGGATCTTGTCAATGATCTCAAGGCAGCTGGGACCATAGTCACCAAGAAACCAACTAGTAACACACTACGCCGTGAAGCACTGAAATCCTGCAGCGCCCGCAAGGTCCCCCTGCTCAAGAAAGCACATATACAGGCCCGTCTGAAGTTTGCCAATGAACATCTGAATGATTCAGAGGAGAACTGGGTGAAAGTGTTGTGGTCAGATGAGACCAAAATCAAGCTCTTTGGCATCAACTCAACTCGCCGTGTTTGGAGGAGGAGGAATGCTGCCTATGACCCCAAGAACACCATCCCCACCGTCAAACATGGAGGTGGAAACATTATGTTTGGGGGTGTTTTTCTGCTAAGGGGACAGGACAACTTCACCGCATCAAAGGGACGATGGACGGGGCCATGTACCGTCAAATCTTGGGTGAGAACCTCCTTCCCTCAGCCAGGGCATTGAAAATGGGTCGTGGATGGGTATTCCAGTATGACAATGACCCAAAACACACGGCCAAGGCAACAAAGGAGTGGCTCAAGAAGAAGCACATTAAGGTCCTGGAGTGGCCTAGCCAGTCTCCAGACCTTAATCCCATAGAAAATCTGTGGAGGGAGCTGAAGTTTCGAGTTGCCAAACGTCAGGCTCGAAACCTTAATGACTTGGAGAAGATCTGCAAAGAGGAGTGGGACAAAATCCCTCCTGAGATGTGTGCAAACCTGGTGGCCAACTACAAGAAACGTCTGACCTCTGTGATTGCCAACAAGGATTTTGCCACCAAGTACTAAGTCATGTTTTGCAGAGGGGTCAAATACTTATTTCCCTCATTAAAATGCAAATCAATTTATAACATTTTTGACATGCGTTTTTCTGGATTTTTTTGTTGTTATTCTGTCTCTCACTGTTCAAATAAACCTACCATTAAAATTATAGACTGATCATGTCTTTGTCAGTGGGCAAACGTACAAAATCAGCAGGGGATCAAACACTTTTTTCCCTCACTGTATCACTGACAAACTGAAATGGTCCACCCACACAGACAGTGTGGTGTAGAAAGCGCAACAGCGTCTCTTTAACCTCAGGCTGAAGAAATTTGGCCTGTCACCTAAAACCCTCACAAACCTTTACAGATGCACAATTGAGAGCATCCTGTCGGGCTGTATCACCGCCTGGTACGGCAACTGCACCGCCCACAACCGCAGGGCTCTCCAGAGGGTGGTGCGGTCTGCACAACGCATCACCGGGGGCAAAATACCTGCCCTCCAGGACACCTACAGCACCCGATGTCACAGGAAGGCCAAAAAGATAATCAAGGACAATTACCACCTGAGCCACTGCCTGTTCACCCCGCTATCATCCAGAAAGCGAGGTCAGTACAGGTGCATCAAAGGTGGGACTGAGAGACTGAAAAACTGCTTCTACAGTGGCTTGCGAAAGTATTCACCCCCCTTGGCATTTGTCCTATTTTGTTGCCTTACAACCTGTAATTTAAATGGATTTTTGGGGGGTTGTATCATTTGATTTACACAACATGCCTACCACTTTGAAGATGCAAAATATTTTTGGTTGTGAAAGAAACAAGAAATAAGACAAAAAAAACAGAAAGCTTGAGCGTGCATAACTATTCACCCCCACAAATTCAATACTTTGTAGAGCCACCTTTTGCAGCAATTACAGCTGCAAAAGGTCTCTTGGGGTATGTCTCTATAAGCTTGGCACATCTAGCCACTGGGATTTTTGCCCATTCTTCAAGGCAAAACTGTTCCAGCTCCTTCAAATTGGATGGGTTCCGCTGGTGTACAGCAATCTTTAAGTCATACCACAGATTCTCAATTGGATTGAGGTCTGGGCTTTGACTAGGCCATTCCAAGACATTTAAATGTTTCCCCTTAAACCACTTCAGTGTTGCTTTAGCAGTATGCTTAGGGTCATTGTCCTGCTGGAAGGTGAACCTCCGTCCCAGTCTCAAATCTCTGGAAGACTGAAATAGGTTTCCCTCAAGAATTTCCCTGTATTTAGCGCCATCCATCATTCCTTCAATTCTGACCAGTTTCCCAGTCCCTGCCGATGAAAAACATCCCAACAGCATGATGCTGCCACCACCATGCTTCACTGTAGGGATGGTGTTCTCGCGGTGATGAGAGGTGTTGGGTTTGCGCCAAAAAGCTCAATTTTAGTCTCATCTGACCAGAGTACCTTCTTCCATATGTTTGGGGAGTCTCCCACATGCCTTTTGGTGAACACCAAACGTGTTTGCTTATTTTTTTCTTTAAGCAATGGCTTTTTTCTGGCCACTCTTCCGTAAAGCCCAGCTCTGTGGAGTGTAAGGCTTAAAGTGGTCCTATGAACAGATACTCCAATCTCTGCTGTGGAGCTTTGCAGCTCCTTCAGGGTTATCTTTGGTCTCTTTGTTGCCTCTGATTAATGCCCTCCTTGCCTGGTTCGTGAGTTTTGGTGGGCGGCCCTCTCTTGGCAGGTTTGTTGTGGTGCCATATTCTTTCAATTTTTTAATAATGGATTTAAATGGTGCTCCGTGTGACGTTCAAAGTTTCTGATCTTTTTTTATAACCCAACCCTGATCTGTACTTCTCCACAACTTTGTCCCTGGCCTGTTTGGAGAGCTCCTTGGTCTCCATGGTGCCGCTTGCTTGGTGGTGCCCCTTGCTTAGTGGTGTTGCAGACTCTGGGGCCTTTCAGAACAGGTGTATATATACCGAGATCATGTGACAGATCATGTGACACAGATTGCACACAGGTGGACTTTATTTAACTAATTATGTGACTTCTGAAGGTAATTGGTTGCACCAGATCTTATTTAGGGGCTTAATAGCAAAGGGGGTGAATACATTTGCACGTACCACTTTTCCGTTATTTATTTGTTCAAATTTTTTTTAACAAGTTTGTTTTTTCATTCCACTTCACCAATTTGGACTATTTTGTGTATGTCCATTACATGAAATCCATATAAAAATTATTTTAAATTACAGGTTGCAATGCAACAAAATAGGAAAAACGCCAAGGGGGATGAATACTTCTGCAAGGCACTGTATCTCAAGGCCATCAGACTGTTAAACAGCCATCACTAGCACAGAGGCGCTGCTGCCTACATACAGACTTGAAAATCACTGGCCACTTTAATAAATGGAACACTAGTCACTTTAATAATGCCACTTTAATAATGTTTACATATCTTGCATTACCCATCTCATATGTATATACTGTATTCTATACTATCTATTGCATCTTAACCTATGCCGCTCTGACAATGACATTGGCCATCCATATATGTATATATTCTTATTCCATTCCTTTACTTAGATTTGTGTGTATTAGATATTTGTTGTGGAACTGTTAGATATTACTTGCTAGATATTACTGCTCTGTCGGAACTAGAAGCACAAGCATTTCACTACACTCACAATAACAATCTGCTAACCACGTGTATGTGACCAATACATTTGATTAGATTTGAAGTTAGCAATGCTAACTGTGAAGGAGGAAAGTGATGCGAGACAGGCAGTCTCAAAGACTACTGTATACATATGTAGTATGCGGCTAATTACCATCACTGCAAGCTGACTTCTAACTCACACAACACTTACTTGGAAGATTCCTTAAAAGGAACTGTCCAGTGTTTCCAGATTTCTATTAAATACGACCTATAACTAAGTAAAATAGTGAAAAGCATATTTTCTGTGTTTGAATGATGTGGGCGTACCCCAAGAACATAATGGTGTGGGCGTATACCGGTCATAAAAAATATGAACGCGAGTAGACCGCTGATTGGCCAGCTCAGCCAATGAGCCAACACGATGTCATGTTTTATGAGGAAATAGCAGTTTGAGGAGGGGTTTTTGAAGTGTTTTTTTTCTCCCATTTATGCTCTAGCCACAAATAGGAGTATAGAATGAGTCAACGACATTATTTGGGTAACATCTGCTAACCATGTGACTTAACAGAATATTAACCTTTGTTGTTGTTGTACTTTTACCCTTTTTTCTCCCCAGTTGGTAGTTACAGTCTTGTCCCATCGCTGCAACTCCCCTACGGACTCAGGAGAGGCGAAGGTCGAGAGCCAAACACGACCCTGCCAAGCCGCACTGCTTCTTGATACACTGCTCGCTTAACCTGGAAGCAAGCCGCACCAATGTGTCAGAGGAAACACCGTCCAGCTGGCAACCGAAGTCAGCTTGCAGGTGCCCGGCCCGCCACAAGGAGTCGCTAGAGCGCGATGGGACAAGGAAATCCCAGCCGGCCAAACCCTCCCCTGACCAGGACGACGCTGGGCCAATTGTGCGCCGCCTCATGGGTCTCCCGGGTCACGGCAGGCTGTGACACAGCCTGGGATCGAACCCGGGTCTGTAGTGACGCCTCAAGCACTGCGATGCAGTGCCTTAGAGCGCTGCACCACTCGGGAGGCCCCAGAATATTAACTTTTAAGTGAGATTTTCACTGGACAGTTACTTTAATAGGCTGTGTCCCAAATGGCACCGTATTCCCTTTATAGTGCACTACCTTTGACCAGGACCCATAGGGCTCTGGTCAAAAGTAATGCACTATATAGGGAATATTGTGTCATTTGGGACACAAACCGTCTGGGGTGTGTTATGTGCATATTAAATATAATATGTGATATTTGTGTAGTGTGTATGACTTTTTCTGGGACATACAAGAGAGAAAGTACAGTGACAGGAAAGACATGCAGAACTATCTACACCCATACTGACCCCTACTGACCCCTAGTTACCCCTACTGACCCCTACTGACCCCTAGTTACCCCTAGTTACCCCTAGTGACCCCTACTGACCCCTACTGACCCCTAGTGACCCCTACTGACCCCTAGTTACCCCTACTGACCCCTACTGACCCCTAGTTACCCCTAGTTACCCCTAGTTACCCCTAGTTACCCCTACATCCCTCTAACTCTGGCAGGTCATGACAACAACTGCTCTCTTCACTCTGAGAATGTCCATCCCAAATGTTTGCCAAGTCTCCTATTACACTAATCTTATGGAACTTGTGCTTCTGTTTCTAGTGGTGACTGGTGAGAGGGACAATTGCTTATAAAGTCCATGGTAATTAGATGCAGCATCTCATGATCCAAAGTAGGACTGAAACAATGGGTATACCCGATCCTGTGCCATAAAGAACCATATTACCTATATGGAATCATCCCACCTCTGCCATCAGTGTAGCGATTAGTAATAGAGTGGGCACCTCCTGTGTCCAAACTTCCTGCCAGGAACTGTAGTATATTTATAATATACCACAACATTAGACTTACATTCCTGTCTGAATTGATGTGTTGTAGTGTATTGCAATAATGTCCCTGTCGAACCTTATCATCATCATCATCATCATCATCATCATCATGACCCCAGAGAAATGTGACGTTTGATAGCGTCATATCGATCCATATCAATTCATTTAGTAAGGGGCATCCCCAAGTGGATCATTGTAACATCGTGACAAAAGCAAAGGCACTCACCGAGTTTCATCAATAAGGCGAGAACGATCCATAGCGCGACCTCAAAAGGCTTTCGTACGTGTTCGTAATTTACGGCGAGCACAGGAAATGCCTTTTTAGTATTAGTGATGTTAGTTAAATGTGAGCCTTCAGTTCCGTGTGATAGATTTGCAGGGACAGAGGCTTCACCTGGCAATGCAATGCCCACGAACACAACCAAAACAACTAGCAGGAGACCCCGGGGATAGCCAGGAGAGGCCCACGAAAATACCGGCATGTTGATTATTGATCCCGCTAACTAATCCAAATCGTCATCCTCTTCATCAACGTATCGGAGATGTAGGCATAAATTAAGCTGTAACGGAAAATCCTGTTGCCATGCTGCGGAGGATGGAGCGCACACGTTTATGCAGTGAGCGTAGCCTACGGACATCTTGAATAGAATATCATGCGTAACTGGAAAGTAAACGCCGTTAAAAAGCTCCCTGATGAATGAGAGTTAACCAACCCCAAGTATGGGTAACTGCATACATGGAGTGTGTCTGAAAGTGTTCTTTGCAAAATAAGTGGGTGGATCAGCAGCGATGGGTGTAACATTAGTGGGTGGATCAACAGCGATGGGAGTAACATCAGCACTCCATTATTTGTTAAACTGGCCATAGCCAGGTGCACCGCGGTTCAGCTGAATGTTTACATAGCAGGTTAAGATAACTAACGTAGCAGGTTAGGAGAATTAACATGTCAGGTTAGGAGAATGAGGTTAAGGTTAGGAAAAGGGTTAGGCTTAGCTAAAATGTGTAGCAGGTTAGGATAATTAAAGTGTCAGGTTAGGAGAATGAGGTTAAGGTTAGGAAAAGGGTTAGGTTTAGCTAAAATGCTACAGTTGTCAACAATCAACTCTTTGTGCAGCCCAATCAGCCACGCAAAACGGTCTGGAGTGGCAACAAATCTGCCAAATTAGTTGATTTGCTTTCCATACGCCCACTTCTGTTGATCCTCCCACTTCTGTTGACATTGCCATTACTGCAGGCGACTGCCGACTGACTGATCTACAAATCACCTTGCATCATAAATAGATCTGCCAGTCAGTCACAATTTACCAATGATACATTGCGGTTTTGATAATCCCGAACAACGCCAATGTGTGCCTTTAGTTAACCATGACTCGTTAACCCCGTTGATGATGATTATATTCCTCTTTAAATGTTTGGATGAGCACAGCTGTTAAGTTTCTAGGGGAAAAAATCATCTCCCATTTGTGCCTCATCACCTGGGCTGGGTTTCCCAAAAGCATTGTAGCACTGATCATCTTTAATTTAAACTAAATGGAGGAAATATTCTTTTAGTGCTATGATGCTTTTGGGAAACTCAGCCCTGGAACAATATTGGTTAGGCTACTTTGTCTGAAGCGACCAACTCTGTGGATGCAACATCACCCAAATTATGCAGCAACTATACTGAACAAAAATATAAACACAACATTAAACAATTTCAACGATTTTACTGAGTCACAGTTCATATAAGGAAAGCAGTCAATTGAAATAAATAAATTAGGCCCTAATCTATTCTCACATGACTGGGCAGGGGCGCAGCCATGGGTGGGCCTGGGAGGGCATAGACCCACCCACTGGGGAGCCAGGCCCAGCCAATCAGATAATTGTTATTACAAATAAAAAATGGAAATATCACATTTACATAAGTATTCAGACCCTTTGCTCAGTACTTTGTTGAAGCACCTTTGGCAGCGATTACAGCATAGAGTCTTCTTGGGTATGACGCTACAAGCTTGGCACACCTGTATTTGGGGAGTTTCTCCCATTCTTCTCTGCAGATCCCCTCAAGCTCTGTCAGGTTGGATGGGGAGCGTCGCTCCACAGCTATTTTCAGGTCTCTCCAGAGACGTTCGATCGGGTTCAAGTCCGGGCTCTGGCTGGGCCACTCAAGGACATTCAGAGACTTGTCCCGAAGCCACTCCTGAGTTGTCTTGGCTGTGTGCTTAGGGTCTTTGTCCTGTTGGAAGGTGAACCTTTGCGCCAGTCTGAGGTCCTGAACGCTCTGGAGCAGGTTTTCATTAAGGATCTTTCTGTACTTTGCTCCGTTCATCTTTGCCTCGATCCTGACTAGTCTCCCAGTCCCTGCCGCTGAAAAACATCAGACCAGAGAATCTTGTTTCTCATGGTCTAAGAGTCTTTAGGTGCCTTTTGGCAAACTCCAAGCGGGCTGTCATGCGCCTTTTACTGAGGAGTGGCTTCCGTCTGGCCACTCTACCATAAAGGCCTGATTGGTGGGGTGCTGCAGAGATGGTTGTCCTTCTGGAAGTTTCTCCCATCTCCACAGAGGAACTCTAGAGCTCTGTCAGAGTGACCATCGGGTTCTTGGTCACCTCTCTGACCAAGGCCCTACTCCCCCGATTGCTCAGTTTGGCCGGGCGGACAGCTTTAGGAAGAGCCTTGGTGGTTGCAAACTTCTTCCATTTAAGAATGATGGAGGCCACTGTGTTTTTGGGGACCTTCAATGCTGCAGACATTTTTTGGTACCCTTCCCCAGATCTGTGCCTCGACACAATCCTGTCTGGGAGCTCTAAGGACAATTCCTTCGACCTCATGGCTTGGTTTTTGTTCTGACATGCACTGTCAACTGTGGGACCTTATATAGACAGGTGTATGCCTTTCCAAATCATGTCCAATCATTTGAATTTACCACAGGTGGACTCCAATCAAGTTGTAGAAACATCTCAAGGATGATCAATGGAAACAGGATTGCACCTGAGCTCAATTTCGAGTCTCATAGCAACGGGTCTGAATACTTATGTAAAGAAGGTATTTCTGTTTATTATCTTTAATACATTTGCTAAAATTTCTAAAAAACTGTTTTCACTTTGTCATTATGGGGTATTGTGTGTAGATTGCTGAGGATTTCTATTTATTTAATCAATTTTAGAATAAGGCTGTAACGTAACAAAATGTGGAAAAAGTCAAGGGGTCTGAATACTTTCCAAAGGCACTGTACGTCACCTCAAAGAGGTAGAAGCGAAGCGAGAGGTTTCACTCTCGCCAAAATCTGTTGAACATAAGCCCAATGCGTTTCTATGGGCTAATTTTGTAACTAAGCTTGTCGCATCATTGCTTGTCGCCTGCCTTCCTGCCTTTGGGACAATGACTCCCATTGTTCGGGCGGTGACATCTTGTCATTATGTACAGATCTCTGGCTGGATGTCTTGAACTTTCCAGCCAAAATCATTGGCCATGTTCGAGAGCATCCAATCCATGATGCATTGTGGGTAAATGGGTACTGACTGACTGATGTACATGCCTTGAACTTTCCAGCTAGCAGTGTTGAAGCTGCTGAGGAGAGGACGGCTCATAATAATGTCTGGAATGGCACGAATGGAATGGGATCAAACCATGTGTTTGATGTATTTGATACCATTCCACTAATTCCGCTCCTGCCATTACCACGAGCCCGTCCTCCCGAATTAAGGTGCCACCAACCTCCTGTGGTGTTGAGTGGTGCCAAAATCATTGGCCATGTTCGCGAGCATCAAATCCATGATGCATTGTGGGTAAATGGGTACTGACTGACTGATCTACAAATGATAACGAGTAGTTATTTATGATGCAAGGTGATTTGTAGATCAGTCAGTCGGAAATCGCCTGCACTGTCGGCCGCAATGTCGAACAAGTCCATTCTTTTGATTCCAGTCAGAGAGGAAGAGGCGAAGCGAGAGGTTTTTCTCCGCCCAAAATCTGTCCACAAAATAGATAGAATAGAAGTTAAGTAATGGTTAAGTTGTTATGAATGCACCGATATAAGTGGACGCATCTGGCATTTCGGCAACTTTGTGCCTGTTGTTATAGAGATAGAGGACTCATCATGGATATAACCCATTTTAGCATGGATATTGTCATTGAGGGCTTCCACCATTTTTAAAGTAGTCAACTGGGTGGGGATTCCTATGAGTTGGGAGCAATCAACCAATGAAGAAGAAGAAAATGTACTACTTTAAAATGAAGATAGCCTCAATGGTGTCACAGACGCTATAATGGCACAGATACAAAGGAAAGTGCTCTATCCATCTCTATGGCCCGTTGTTCACACGTATATCTGCCCTCTCATTGGCTAGAATGGTCCAACCTGCTCTCGCCTCCTTCCATCTGCCTTCCATCTTTGAGGACATGTACTTCCATTGTTAGAGCGGTCATTCGACTATCTTGTCAATATAATAGACAATCTTTGTTCCAGTGATTGACGTGAGCTTCTTTCTCTTCTGATGTCTCCAATGCGTGTTGTGCGGATTAGTGGTATACGCTGACATCTATTCGACAGGGGGAGAACTGACGTCTACCGCTACTGAACAGATTAAAACCAAAGTAGTGAAGCCTATTTAAAGAGGAGAGCTGTTGGGAATGGGATGGGGACATAAGCTGAATTTGAATACACTTTTCTCATGGTGCATTAAGGAAAGGACATTTTTGTGCAGTATGATGAACAGATGGTCTGTGGTATGACCTGCCTCAAAGAATTCAGAACTAATCCAAGAGTCTACTTATTTGATATTCTCAGTTCTATTTGGCAGTCAGATACCAATTGTACGAAAACACCTCTGTGCGATTGCCATAGTAACTGGGTGGCCATACCAATCAGACTACTGTACTATACCAACCACATTAAACTCTGGATGAACCCAATGAAAGGCAAGGAGGAAGCACCAGGAAGCAGAGGCTTTGTGTGTGAGATCCCATCATCTGTGGGGCGCCCAATGTGAGCCGCGTGGGAAAACCCCTTAATATCTCTGTCCCAGTCTGAACACATTCTCTCTGCTATCTCCTCATGTCATCCCTGTCTGACTGAACACAGACTCTCTGCTATCTCCTCATGTCATCCCTGTCTGACTGAACACAGACTCTCTGCTATCTCCTCATGTCATCCCTGTCTGACTGAACACAGACTCTCTGCTATCTCCTCATGTCATCCCTGTCTGACTGAACACAGACTCTCTGCTATCTCCTCATGTCATCCCTGTCTGACTGAACACAGACTCTCTGCTATCTCCTCATGTCATCCCTGTCTGACTGAACACAGACTCTCTGCTATCGCCTCACTTCCTCCCTGTCTGTCTTTCTGCCCCGCCCCGACCCAACGACAGAAAAGACGACAATCCATGAGGATTAGACTGTTTATCTAGGCACAGGATTCTTCCTCAAACATGGTTGGTTCCCACAGCATCCCACTGCTGCCCCCACCATGTAATCTAACAGTCACTGACTGACTGACTGA